GCTTCCCTTTCTCACCACTTCCCACAGCTTTAAACATTTCCAACAAGTATAATAAATCAAGCAATCTGCACAAACACACACTCTTAAACCAAGTCAGCAAAAGTGTTGCTCAGCCAGCAATTTTGTACCCCGGTCGGTAACCCTCACTTTGGGCAAAGGAATGCATAGGGTTGTAGCCTTATGGACAACTCAAGAATTCAAACCCTGGGCAAACAAAAAAACTACCTGTTGTCCATTTTGGATAGACACTCTTGCATTTACCAAAACATATTTCTTATAATGGGTATGAGTGGCATTCCGCTATGACCTTTTCATCCTTTATCTACTCTCCTCCACTCACTCCATTCATTCATTGATTATATTTTCATTCCACCTTTAAACCGCAAGCTTAACCTGGCTTAGAAATTCATATTCAGAGTAAATGTGGCAGGGTTTAGGATTCATATTCAGAGTAAATGTGACAGGGCTCGGGCTCGAGTTGGGCCTTTTAAACAGATTAGTACAAACAGCCTTGCAAATCCAAAGGCAAAAAAAAACCAAACAAACACAGGCTGAGTATCCCTTCTCAGAAATTGTTGGAAGCAGATTTGTTTGGGATTATTATTATTATTATTATTATTATTATTATTATTATGGAATACCCTCTTTTGCAAGAAGTGAAATGTCTTGGAGGTGAGACCCAAGTCTAAACACAAGGTTCGGTTTTGTTTTCGATGCACAGTATACATCTTGGCCAAAGGTGATTTCAAATGCAATATTTTGAATCATCCTGTGCCTGAAACCAAATGTGTGTGTGACCCATCCTAATTCAAAGGTGTCACTTTCTTTGCCCCCTTCTACACTGCCAAATAAAATCCACATTATCTGCTTTGAACTGGATTATATGAGTCATGCGCCTTTCACCTTAAGAACAGACAAGCATCCCGAGCTCTGAGGATTACCTGGGAAGGAATCCCACTGGAGCATTGCAGCACACCCAAATACCTGGGAGTCACTTTGGACCGTGCTCTGACCTACAAGAAGCACTGCCTGAACATCAAGCAAAAAGTGGGCGCTAGAAACAACATCATACGAAAGCTGACTGGCACAACCTGGGATCACAACCAGACACAGTGAAGACATCTGCCCTTGCGCTATGCTACTCTGCTGCTGAGTATGCATGCCCAGTGTGGAACACATCTCACCACGCTAAAACAGTAGATGTGGCTCTTAATGAGACATGCCGCATTATCACAGGGTGTCTGCGCCCTACACCACTGGAGAAATTACACTGCTTAGCCGGTATTGCACCACCTGACATCCGCCGGGAAGTAGCAGCCAATAGTGAAAGGACCAAGGCAGAGACATCTCCAGCTCATCCCTTGTTTGGGTATCAGCCAGCACGTCAACGACTTAAATCAAGACATAGTTTTCTTAGATCTACAGAGACACTCGCTGGAACACCTCAGCAAGCGAGAGTCCAAAAGTGGCAGGCAAACCCAGCACCTCAATCCGTGGGTGATACCAGATGAGAGACTCCCCCCTGGGCACACAGAAGACTGGGCGACTTGGAAGGCACTGAACAGACTGTGCTCTGGCACCACGAGATGCAGAGCCAACCTTCAGAAATGGGGCTACAGGGTGGAATCCACGACATGCGAGTGCGGAGAAGAACAAACCACTGACCACCTGCTGCAATGCACCCTGAGCCCTGCCACATACACAATGGAGGACCTTCTTGCAGCAACACCAGAGGCACTCCAAGTGGCCAGATACTGGTCAAAGGACATTTAATCAACTACCAAGTTTGCAAAATCTGTGCTTTTTTTAATTTGTTTGTTTGTTGTGTTCTGTTAGAAATGCAATACAATGGTATGGTTGCTGATGACAGGATAAATAAATCTGGGTTTTAGTTGGCAGTGTTCTCCATGGTACCCATTTTGGAATTTCGGAGAAGAGATATTCAACCTGTATAATTTGATACACATCCTCTAAGCCAGTGTTTCTCAAACTGTGCTCCTCCGGGTGTTTTGGACTTCAGCTCCCAGAAATCCCAGCCAGTTTACCAGCTATTAGGAATTCCTGAATTACAAGGGGTTGGACTAGATGGCCCATGGGGTCTCTTCCAACTCTATTATTCTAATTGTGAGAGCTGAAATCCAAAACATCTGGAGGAGCAGTTGGAGAAACTCTGCTCAAAGCAACGATTCCAGTCCTCCTTCATCAATGTGCCCAAAATCCTTCAGTTCTAGTTACCAATACAAAGAGAACCAAACACCAGTTCCTCAAGTTTGGAGGGAGGAAAGAATGAAGGAAGAAGGAATGGATAGAAGGCGGGGAGAGAGGGAAGAAGGAAGGAAAGAAAAGGATAGGAAAGAGAGGGGAGAAAGGAAGAAGAAAGGATAGAAGGAAGAAAAGGAATAGAATGAAAGTATAGAGAAAGGGAAAGAATGGAATGGAAGAAGAGAGAAAGGAAAGGATATGATACGAAGGAGGGGAGGGAAAGGAAAAGGAAAGGAAGGAAAGGAAAGAAAGGAAGAGGAGAAAGAAGGGAAGAAAGAAAGGAGGGGAAAAGGAAAGAAAGGAAAGGAAAGAAAGGAAAAATAAGAAAGAGGGGGAGGAAGGAAAAGAAAAGAGGGAGAAAGTAAAGGAATTAAAGGAAATGGGGGAGCAAGGAAAAGAAAAGTAAGAGGGAGAAAGTAAGGGAATGGAATGGAAGGAGGGGAAAAGGAAAGGAATGGAAAGGAAAGAGGGAGAAAAGAAAGGAAAAATAGGAAAGAGGGGAAGGAAGGAAAAGAAAAGAGGGAAATGAAAGGAAATGGGGGAGTAAGGGAAGAAAAGAAAGAGGGAGAAAGTAAAGGAATGGAATGGAAGGAGGGGGTGGAAAGGAAGGGACAGGAAGGGTGAAAAGGAAAGGAAGGGAAGGAATGGAGTGAAAGGAGGGAGAAAGGAAAGCAAAGCAAAGCAAAGGAAGGAGGGAGAAAGGAAAGGAGAAAGTATTGGAATGGAATGGAAGAAGGGAGAAAGGAAGGGAAAGGAGGGAGAGAGAGAGAAAGGAAAGGATAGGAAGAAGGGGAAGAAAAGAAAGGAAGCAGGAAGGGACAGAAGGGAAAGGAGGGAGAAAAGAAAGGAAAATAGGAAGGATGAGGAGAAAGGAAAAGAAAAAAATGAGAGAGGGAGAAAGTAAAGGAATGAAAGGAAAAGAGGGAGTAAGGGAAAGAAAAGAAAGGAGAAAGTAAAGGAATGGAATGGAAAGAGGGGGTGGAAAGGAAAGGTTAGGAAGAGTGAGAAAGGAAAGGAGGGGAGGGAGGGAAGGAAGGAATGGAATGAAAGAGAAAGCAAAGCAAAGCAAAGGAAAGAAGGAGAAAGGAAAGGGGGGAAAGGAAAGAGAAAGTATTGGAATGGAATAGAAAGGAAGGAGGGAGAAAGGAAAAAGGAAAGGAAAGGAAAGGAAAAAGGAAAGGAAGGAGGGAGAAAGGAAAGCAAGGGAAAGGAAAGGAGAAAGGAAAGGAAAGAGATAGAAAGGATTGGAATGGAGTGGAATGGAATAGAAAGGAAGGAGGGAGGGAGAAAGGAAAGAAAGGGAAAAGGGAAAGGAAAGGAAAAGGAAAAGAAAGGAAAGGAAGGAAGGAAGGAGAAACGAAAGCAAGGGAAAGGAAGGAGGGAGAAAGGAAAAGAAAAGAAAGAAAAGAGAGAAAGGATTGGAATGGATTGGAATGGAATGGAATGGAATGGAATGGAATGGAATGGAATGGAATGGAATGGAATGGAAGGAGGGGGAGAAAGGAAAGAAAAGGGAAAGGGAAAGGAAAGGATGGAGGGAGAAAGGAAAGGAAAGGAAAAAGGAAAGGAAAGGAAGGAGGGAGAAACGAAAGCAAGGGAAAGGAAAGAGGGAGAAAGGAAAGGAAAAGAAAGAAAAGAGAGAGAAAGGAATGAAATGGACCGGAATGGAAAGGAAAGGAAGGAGGGAGGAAGAAAGGAAAGAAAAGGGAAAGGATGGAAGGAGAAAGCAAAGGAAAGGGAACGAAAAGGAAAGGATGGAGGGAGAAAGGAAAGGAGAAAGGAAAGGAAAGGAAGGAGGGAGAAAGAAAAGCAAGGGAATGGAAAGAGTGAGAAAGGGAATGAAAAGAAAGAAAAGAGAGAGAAAGTATTTAAATGGAATGGAATGGAATGGAAGGAGGGTGGGAGAAAGGAAAGGAAAGGGAAAGGAAAGGAAGGAGGGAGAAAAGAAAGAAAAGGAAAAAATAAAAGGAAAGGAAGGAGGGGAAAGAGAAGGAAGGAAGGAAGAAGGAGGAAGGAAGGGAAAGGAAAGGAAGGAGGGAGAAAAGAAGGAAAGGAAAGGAAAGGGAAAAGGAAAGGAAGAAAAGGAAAGGAAAGGAGGGAGGGAGGGAGAAGGAAAAGAAAAGAAGGAAAAGGGAAAAAAGGAAGGAGGAGAAGGAAAGGAAAGAAGGAAGGAAGGAAAAGGAAAGGAAGGAAAGGAAAGGAAAGGAAAGGAAGGAAAGGAAAGGAAAGGAAAGGAAGGAAAAGGAAGGAAGGAGAAGGCGGAAAGAAAGAAAGAAAAGGAAAGAAAGGAAAGGAAAGGAAAGGAAAGGAAAGGAAAGGAAAGGAAAGGAAAGGAAAGGAAAGGAACGGAACGGAAAGGAAAGGAAAGGAAAGGAACGGAACGGAACGGAAAGGAAAGGAAAGGAAAGGAAAGGAAAGGAAAGGAAAGGAAAGGAAAGGAAAGGAAAGGAAAGGAAAGGAAGAAGGAAAGGAAAGGAAAGGAAAGGAAAGGAAAGGAAAGGAAAGGAAAGGCGCTCCTGGCGCTCTCTAGCCAGCACTCCACGCCGGCTCCACTCTCTCTTTCTCTCTTTCTTTCTCCTGCGGCTTTTTCCGCCTCTGCGCTTCCCTTTCCTTGGGAAACAGCGCCAACCTTTGGCCAAACGGGAGCCTTCCACTCCGGCCAAGCCGCGATCACGCCGCGAGAGACGATCCTCGGAGAGGGCCGGGGAGGGGGAGAGGGCTCCGGCGGGGCCTCTTAC